CTGAGAATATTAATGTATTTATTGTATCATCCATGAGAAGCATATATTCTAGTTTCTATAGTAACTTGCTGAGAATATTAATGTATTTATTGTATCATCTATGAGAAGCATATATTCTAGTTTCTATAGTAACTTGCTGAGAATATTAATGTATTTATTGTATCATCCATGAGAAGCATATATTCTAGTTTCTATAGTAACTTGCTGAGAATATTAATGTATTTATTGTATCATCTATGAGAAGCATATATTCTAGTTTCTATAGTAACTTGCTGAGAATATTAATGTATTTATTGTATCATCTATGAGAAGCATTCTTTTCTAGTTTCAATACATACATACCGAAAAGAATAGTGCATTTATTGTCTTTCATCACGCACAATTCCAAATCTTGGACAAACTCTTGATCATACAGACTTCGGTTGGAAAGAGACTGTGCAATTCAAAATAATAAAAAAACGGGGGATCTTCGCAAGATCAGATCAGCATGAGAACAAATTTCGGTAAATATTCCAGCACTATACATACGATTTAGCTCGTAATATCTGGCTTAGAAACAGTTACTATACGTCCAGTTAACTCTTGTTTATATTGATTTTTGGCTTTGGTAAATTTTGGTTACTATTCAATTTCTTTTTGAAGTCTTTCGTTAAATCTATGCATTGAACACACAAAATCGGAGAAAGCTAAAAATAAATAAAAAGTCTAACAAACATCACGATCATTTTCCACAGACAGCGTTACAGCGGAAACACCTTGTACAAGAAATGCATAGAAAAAAACATAGTTATGTAAAACACAGTAATTATAAAGTCTAATGAAAATATTTTACGAACTCTATACATTGATTTCAAATAGGAATAGTTTATAGCACTAATCTATAAAAACGTTTTGTTTTATATTTTCGTCCTCATAATCATATTTTGGAACAATTTTAAAGTTATCAAATACGTTTGTAAGCAAACTTGTAGGAAATAAAATGTGTATATGAACCTTGAAAGACGAGCATCTTGTTGACACTTGATTCGAGAACGTAATATACAGGGTTCCGAGGACGCATTAGTTGTCAACTCATATCTAAATCTTGTTGACACTTGATTCGAGAACGTAATATACAGGGTTCCGAGGACGCATTAGTTGTCAACTGATATCTAAAATGTCTTCTTTTCTGT